GATGCGTTCACAGATACGAGAAGGGTGATGAAATCATATATCCCCGCTGCTAATGCTCCATCAAAAATAAATGTTTCAGAAAAAGTTATTGATGGGAATAAAGCAAATGAACCGCGGGTTCAATTAAAGCACGGAAGGCCGATGGGCTCGAAAGATAAAAATCCTCAAAAGAAAAAAAAATGTCCTGAAGAACTGAATAAAGAAAATTATCCTGAAGACATTTGTGAAAAGATTCCAGAAGAACCATATAGAGATATATGTCCTGAAGACATAAATGAAGAGGTTTCAAAAGAACCAATTAAAGAAGTTCGTTCAGAAGACGAACATGATACTGAAAAGTATAAGATTTCCATTAACTTCGCCCAAAGTGGGACATTATGGGCTAGAAGCGAGATAAATGATACAAATCGAATGTTCTCCTTTTCGGTATCCAAAGAAATTGATAATGAAATTAATGATCCAGACCCAAAGTCCGAGTCAGATTGGCAGAGAAGGCTTGACTGGGAGAAATGGCAGATGGCCATGAGAAATGAATTAATCTCCCTGAATAAAAAAATGTTTTTGAACCTATAGTCATTACACCTGAAGATGTAATGCCAGTCGAGTGCAAATGGGTCTTCGTGAGAAAAAGAAATGAGAAAAACGAGGTCACAAGATATAAAGCCCGACTTATGGCACAAGGTTTTTCTCAAAGACCGAGTATTGATTATGAAGAAACATATTCCCTGGTCATGGATGCAATCAGATTCAGGTACTTAATGAGCCTAACGTCATCTAAAAATCTAGATATGTACCTTATAGATGTTGTGACTGCATATCTATATGGTTCACTTGATAGTGACATATATAAGAAAATCCCAAAGGGAGTAAAGATCCCAGAAAGATCAAAGATGCCTGAAGCATCTAAAGACATATGTTCGGTCAAATTAGAGCGATCACTTAACGAATTAATACAGTCTAGACGCATGTGGTATAATTGCTTGAATGAATACTAGTTGAGTAAAGGATACATCAACAATGCGATATGCTCTTGCGTGTTTATTAAGAAATCCTCATTATGATTTGTGATCATTGTTGTATATGTTGATGACCTAACATAATCAGAACCCAGAAGGAGATTGATGATGCAAGAACTCACATGAAAGAAGAGTTCGAAATGAAAGATCTTGGAAAAAAAATGTTTGTTTTTAGGGCTCCAAATTGAGCATTTCAAGACGGAATATTTGTGCATCAATCAAATTACACCAAAAAGGTGTTTAAACGCTTTAAAATGGATAAAGAAACTCCTTTGAGTACTTCAATGGTCAATAGATCACTTGATATTATCAAGGATCCATTTCGACCTTGCGAAGATAGCAAAAACATATTAGGTCCTGAAGTACCTTATATGAGTGCTATCGGTAGGCTTATGTATCTTGCAAATTGTACTCGACCAGATATAACCTTTGCTACTAATCTACTTGCAAGATACAGCGAATCTCCAACGCACAGACATTGGAATGGGATAAACATATTTTTTGTTATCTCCGAGGTACGATTGATCTAGGTTTATTTTATCACAGAAACCCCGAAGTTGGTCTAGTTGGTTTTGCAGATGCAGGATATTTATCAGATCCACATAAAGCTCGATCGCAAACTAGATATGTGTTTACAATTGGTGGAACTACGATCTCGTGGCGTTCCCAAAATCAGACTTTGGTTGCCACTTCTTCAAATTATGTGGAAATTATTGCTCTCCATGAAGCATGTAAAGAATGCATATGTCTCCGATATATGACTCAACATATTTAAGGTGCAAGTGGAATAATCATTGATAAGGAACCAACAGAATTGTTCGAAGATAATGCTGCATGTCGCTCAACTCAAGGAAGGTTTCATCAAGAGCGATCGAACAAAACATATTCCTCTATGGTTTTTCTCTTACAGTCAAGAACTTGAGAAGAATCAGGAAGTGAATATCCAATATGTTCGCTCGAGTGACAATGCAGCAGATCTCTTTACAAATGCGCTTTCCACTACATTATTCAGAAAACATGTCCATAGTATTGGAATGCGCCGACCGCGAGATCTATGAAGGAAATTTATATTCATGAGGAAGATTACGTTACTGTACTCTTTTTCCGTTGTCATGTTTTTTTGTCCTAATGAATTTTTCTATTATAAGATTTTTAATAAGTCAGTGTGTAACACATTATTAGTGATGGATAATTAAGAGGAAGTGTTGGATAATAATTTCCACACAAAATGATAAAGAGGGCTAGGTAGGTTAGGTAACAAGTATAGTTACCAACATCATTTTACCTACCACCTCTTCTTGTATAGATAGGTGGTGTGATTGTGAAGTTTAAGAGACTCAACAATAAGAAGAAGAAATCAGTTATCTGCTTCCTCTTTATCTCGTCTTTCTCTTCCCCTACCAAAACAAAGTTAATATACAATATATATATACATATACAAACATACATAATCTTACCTATATAATATCTATTATATAAAAATTCAGTTGTGTCTCACAAGCTTGACATATTAGATTTTTTTCTTATGACACATCAGCTTAAACAAAAAATAAAAATAAAACTCCATTAATCGATGATCAAATTTCTAGAAACTTAAATTCATTTTGAAGACCTAAGTGACATAAAAATATTGAATACAAATCGATTTCACTTCTTTCCTATTTCCAGAAAATATATTTAATAAACATGTAGACTTTCGAGAAAGGATTAGGTTTTATAGATAATGGATCTGATGGTGATGGCAAATAATGCAGATATTGATCAGAATCTAGAAGCAGTGAACTGAATCCTCCAATCGAAAAGCTGATGCGGATCATCACAAAAGAAAAAAAAAGAGGATTTTGGGCATTCATACAAGCGATTAGTTGCATAGCTTTGCTGCAAAATCTCCACTTGTAAATGATAAGTCTTCTCATTATCTTCTCCACATTTGCATTGTAGTTGCACCGTAAGTAGCTTGGATAGCATCGGATGAGGGGATTTTCTGGATGGACAGTGGTATAATTTGCAACACATAATTCTGAAAAAATTGTCGCTAAAATCGCATCCACCTTTTTCTGATTTGACATGAAGAATTCTTTGTCGCTAGGACCGCATTTAGGCATGTCTGACGGTCGCACTCAGAGAAGCATATTAGGGTAAGGAAGGGTTAACATGTTTAACTTCTCCAAACAAATATTTTATTTCAAATTTTGACTCTTGGCAGATCCCTGTTACAGATATCTAATTCAGTTTTCTCCAGATTTTAGTAGTAAGTGAAACAAATAATTACCATTTCCTTTCTAGATTCACATAAAAGAGTTCAAGTACAGGTGATATGCATTAATTATATGGCAATAATATTTGCAGATGGTGCTAATTGAAAGGGAGCGTAGACGGTGTGGTAACGATATCTGTTTCTGCTGTTGCTCCCATTGAGCATGTCAAGCTTTTGATTCAAAACAAGGATGAGATGCTCAATGCTGACTCTGATTCATGAAGTGGTAAAAAAATGGCGGAAGCATTTAGATCAGACCCTTAGAATTTAGGTCTGTGTTTATGGTTGTCCTCTTTAATTGTGCGATTATTTTCCTTAGTTTTTTTTATAGAAAATCAGTGATAAAACATCAAATCGATCACGTTTTTTTTTAAGAACAGTTTTGGTTGATATGGTGGCTGTGACGAAAATGATTTTGTGTGTGTGCGCATGCTTTTTCTTAATGTATATTCAACCATCTGATTTGGTATACATTCCCCTTCTCTTTCACATTCTTCTTTGAAAACATATTGTTCTGATCAGCGCTATGATTGTCATCCCTATCTCTATGCATTTTGAATAGGTGGGAATGAGCGGATGAGTGTCAACGCAAAAAAGTTTTGTTTTAAAAAAATTAAGAAGTTCTATTTTTATTATGCTCTTCATTTTGTATTTTTTAAAATAAACGCTAAAAAAACAAAGACAAAATGAGAACACCTATAAGGCAAATTCACGGTTTGAGTAAAACTAAAAATTGAGAATTTCGCGAGAGACATTCGTCAAGAGTAGAAATGGGAGTGTAAGGTGATAGAATAGATGCATTTAAGTTCCCTTTGACTAGAGACTAATCGTCATCTTAGTAAAAAACACTTTTTTTATGAATATATCACAAGTTCCATCTATATCTAAATTCAAAGGTATGTGAAATTTTTCAATTTTTTTACAAACTTAACAACATATATAGGTATATTATTGCAAATGCTGATTTTTTTTAGTTATCTTTTTAATTGTATGAGCTATGAAAATATTTAAACCGTTAGAAACATTATACGTAAAACTTTCAAAAAAATTGTTATGTCATGAGACTCTTTGATGGGGGAAAAATTTTATGAATCGATCGCTGCATCAGAATATGGTGATAATATATGGTGAATGGCTTCGAAGTTTGGAAGAGACAGATGCAAACAATAGAAAAAGGCAAAGAGATTACAAAATTTGAAAGTTGAACAATTTTATTTATAAATATATATGGTCTCATCACCATTGTTTTATTTATATTTGTTTTAGTTTAAAATAGGCTATAAAAATTAATAATTACACAGTAGTAAAACAAATTTGTCGAATGCTCCATTATCTAGCTCGGACTAGGTTATAATTGTAAGGGTATTATTTTATACAAATAAATCGTTGAATGTGTATTAACAAATAATTTCTAATGATTAAATAACAAAATTATTATATTATAGTTACAAAATATTTATAATATATAAACTTGCGTGTATACACGGATCTTCTCCTAATATATATAAATATAAAGTTTATAACAAAAACAACTTCTAGATTGAAATGCAGGGAGTATAATTGGTTTTTGGCTAATTCCAAATCTCAATATGGAAAAAGAAAAGAAAAAAGGAGTGCACTCGTAAAAGAGCCACAATCAGTCAATCACGAGGCAATAGAAGAAATTCATCTAAAATAAAATGGTATTTTAATGTAAACCGCGAGAAGAAACAAGAAAAGCTGTGAGGAACGTAGAAGTGACAGGTGAGTATCTCTATCAAAATCCCAACGGTAACTGGAAAAATCGCAGCAAGCGATTCGATTTTCCTAAAACGTATGAGAGAGAGACTAAATGAAGCTTAAAGATTCCTCTCTCCATGGCTGCTTCTAGGGTTACTTCCACTATCGTGATGAAGCTTCAACATCGCCTATCCTTCTGGTGGTTTTCGTTGCTTTTTACGGCGGCGATAGCGACCGAAACACCAAAAGTTTCTCCGATCACTCGTATCGCTTTCGGATCATGCGCTAATCAAAGCGCTCCACAGGTTAAACCAATTTGTTAGAAATCCCGAGTTTTGATTCGCGATTTCATGAATCTGTTATTGATTTTTTTAATGGGTTTTTGTTAAATTAGCCGATTTGGGATGCGATAAACAAGTTTGATCCACAATTGTTCATTTGGCTGGGTGATAACATATATGGAGATATAAGAAAACCGAATAGAGTGTTTGGGAAAGAGAGAACCATTGGGCCATGGAGGAATTCTCCGAGGTTTGTGCCTTCTTCAGAGGAAGAAATGAAATTAAGATACGCAAGAGCCAAGGCTAATCCTGGTTACTCTCGTCTCCAGAGAAAAGCTAGAATTGTTGGTACTTGGGATGACCATGATTACGGGTTGAATGATGCTGGAAAAGAGTTTGATCGTAAAGTCATTAACCAAAAACTCATGCTTGATTTCTTGGATGAGCCTCTTGATAGCCCAAGGTCAGCTCTCTTTGTTCTTTTCGATATATTCGTATGGACTCTATGATATCAAAAAATACCTAATGTCTCTGGTTGTGATGATTTCTCAGGAGAAAGCAAGCTGGAGTTTATGCGTCTTACATGTTTGGTCCACCTAACCGGAGAGTCAAGGTATAGCACCAGAACTACAATACGAGTTTTTTCTTCTTTGGTGGTTTGTAAAGTTCTAAATGAAGTGCTTATATGTGATTCAATGGTATTTTGTATTTTCAGGTTATAGTTTTAGATACCAGATATCATAGAGACCCTATCCGAAGTGACGGGAGTATCTTGGGTGATGCGCAGTGGAGATGGCTCGAAGAAGAGTTGAGAGGTCCGCGCAGCGAAATTACTATCGTAGGATCGTCTGTTCAGGTATTATGTAACTTAGTTTTTTTCATTCCAAAACCAGTTTTACTTACTTATTATATTAGACTTTTGTGTCTGGTTCTAATTTGGGTGAATGTCTTGTTCCATCTAGAATTGCTCATCCATAAAAATGGTTTCTTGGCTTGTCTAGGTAATATCAAATCTTTCGGCAACCACTGGACCGCTCTTTTATATGGAATCATGGGGCCGTTTTCCAAAAGAAAGGAAACGTTTTTTCCAACTGATAGAAGATACCAAGGTATGGGATTAGTTGACATTAGGGGAAATGAAACAATCCAAGACGTATTTCCGCTTTCCGGTTGCTTTTCTCCATTATAATTTTCTGCTGCTATGACATTACAGAGAAATGGAGTTGTATTCATCAGTGGAGATGTTCATTTTGGAGAGATTACGAGATACGATTGTGCTGTTGGGTACCCATTATATGATGTCACCTCCAGTGGCCTTGTACAATCTGTTGAGAAAGTTTTTCCTCGTCCCTTGCGTTTCATCGTTAGGCTTCTGTTTTGGTATACTCCAAGCACGATGAGAGTTATCAATGAAAACTGCAAATATAGATCATGCACATATGGTATTACTCTCCTTTTCTTCTCAATTGGTTCATTCATTCTGATAAACTGTGGATGCGAGCGTTTTACAATGTTATCCATTTCTTTTAAACTTTCCAAAAGATCTATTAATATGCCAAGAGACAGTGAGCGTACTGTTAGAAGCCCAAATTTTTGCTATAGGTCTGCTATAAAGCCTAGGACTGAATTTAGCAGATTGTAGCTCTTGTGAGTTGATTAGTTGGTATTTTGTTGAGTATCTCTGGTTTGGGTTAAGTTGAAAAGGAATAGCGTTTTAATAGATTTGTTATTTTCATTTCAGTAATTGAACAGGAGGATTATGTTGGTCACAGTAACTTAAAAAATTACTTGCAGGACAACAAAATTTTGGAGCAATATCGATAGATTGGAATGCAAATCCGGCAACTATAAGGCTTGAGGTCAGAGATGTTAACGGACTCACAGCACTAAGCACAAATGTTTCACTATCCGAACTTCAACCACGAGGCTCAAAGCCCTTGACAGATTCAACCAGGAAGGGAAAGTCCCAACCATATTGCACCCTCGAAGTTGAATTACCAGGAACAACCAGATACCGATTGGCAGTTCTCATCTACTTCACCATTGCTGGTATGTTATTCTTCCTTACTGCTAATGTTAGTCGTTTGGTCGGGGTCAAAGGATGTTGCAGAGTATTGATATATGTGTGTTGTTGGGTTGGATTCGACAGTCTTGGCAATGGCGTTAGTAGGACTGATCATTGGAGCTGTACTGACTATTACAGCATGCGTTTATAAATGCAAGCTCGACTGAATCTTGGATTTTGTTCCGGTAAATGACTTTGCTCTTTAATGACATTTTGATCCAACAAAAAGTATCTATAATTAATTTTAAGATTTTGAATTCGTATAGGCTATTAGCTTTAGTATATTGGTGATTACTAAACAGTCGTTAAATAGTATGAACACATTGCTATTGATATTAAGATGGGAATTCAAAGCTTGAGCTGTTCATTTAGTATGAAATTGGATTTGTTGGCCTAGTTCTTTTGAACAAAATTGTTCATGAAGACTAGTTAAATTCTTGATTATGAGTATTATAATTTTGAAAATGATAAACTATTTTTGGATCAACCCCACTTGTAAACCAAGAGAAAAGGGTATGCCAAATGCAATTAGTTGAAACTTTGTTCTTCCAATTTTGTTTTTGCTTTTTCGTTTGCGTTTAAATGTAATTGTGTCGTTTGCTCTTTTTGGCTTTAAAGTTTGAATTGATTGTCATTATGTATGCTTTTGGGTTTAAAACTATTTGAACTAACATGACAATGAAAAGGCTGGAATTTAAATAAACGGCAAGTGTGAATATTATCATGAGAATGAAAATGGATGATGAAATTTATAATAGAATTTGTTCTAACCATCTACATTAGCCCCTACATAAAATCAATGAAGTCACGCAAGATTTTTTTTTTATGTGAAGTCCAAGTTTTCATATTTTTGCCATGGTTTTCAATATTGGTTATAATTTAATCTCCATTCATCAATTCAGAGATACGAATATTTTCCTTGCATCTTCTTCATTACTTTGCTGAATCCATCTTCTGCTTCGACGTGGGTGGAGCCAGAATTCTGACCCATTTTGACGAATTTCAAATAGAACACATGCTCTATAAAAACAACTTATTGAAAACAAATTGTTTCCAATCATGAAATTTGATCATAAAATTTTATTCGCCTAAACACATTTTCATTCATAATATACTTTATGCATATTAAATATGTGAGAATATTGTTTTAATCTAGCAAATAATTCATAATTTTATAAAAACAATTGTCTAAATGTCTTCACTCACAATACTATATGCATATTATTATTTATTCGTGAGAAAATTCTCTATAATTTTATATTTATAAGTATGTATGCAGTTTGTATTTTTACCTTTTGCATATTTGATTGGATAATATTCATGGTTTGTGATGTATAAAAACAGTATTTCATTATTAGAGAAACCGACAAAGATTTATGCAACTATTGCCAGGACATTGTTCAAAAAAAACTATTGCCACTTTGCCAGAACACTAAATATCTGGGGCGAATGTCCTCCTCCTTAAAGCATCTCCAACCCTGCTCCATTTTTTGCTGCAAACTTCATTTCCTCCTTAGAGCATCTCCAACCCTGCTCCATTTTTTGTTGCAAACTTCATTTTGGAGTAAATTCCACTCCAACTCTATTCCATTTTTTACTGCAAAATGGAGAAAAAATAGAGATTGCTCCATATTTGGAGTAAACCTTTTGAGGTTTTTGCTAAAAATAACCTAAAACTTGATTTTGAATACAAAAGTAGACCCCTGAAAAAACATTTGGCAGAAATAACCTAAATGGGTAGTGAAAAAACTATTTAATCTTGTATGAGTAAACAAAAAACGGATGTCCTAATTACCGTTTACACCCTGACGAAGTCTACTAAAGAGAAAAAGAAGTCTATTAGTAGACTTCTTTTATCGAAATGAAGTCTACTAAATAATTAAATCTGGAAATTTAATTTTAAAATTTAGAAAAAAATAATTTGGTATCAAATTTACATTCATAAATTCTGTAATCGTAACCCAAATGTACAGAAATTATTTTTTATATTGCTAAATGGAAATTTATGTTTTTAAATTAAGTAGAAGAAAATTTATTATTTAGGTTTTAAAAGTTGTAGACTTCTATATGGAAGTCTGCTAAACCGAATAAAATAATTTTACCAAAAATTAAACCAAAATTAAACTGAAAAAAATATTCTAACCATCAAAAATTGTTCAAACCGATATATAAACCGTAATATAACCAAAAAAATTTATCCAAGATTTTGTCTCATATATAAATAAGATGTAACCCTAACTTTTTAATGAAAAAAAAACTCTCGCCTCTCTCCTAAATCTCGCCTCTCTCGCCTCTCTCGCCTCTCCCGCCTCTCTCGCCTCTCTCGCCTCTCTCGCCTCTCTCGCCTCTCTCGCCTCTCTCGCCTCTCTCGCCTCTCTCGCCTCTCTAGCCTCTCTCGCCTCTCTAGCCTCTCTCGCCTCTCTCGCCTCTCTTCTCACTATCCAGCTAGCCATGTCTGACTCATCTCGCACCATTGGAGATCCCTCACCTTCTCTCTGCTGAGCTCAAGCTCGCTGGTGCTACCATCGTTGTTTGCAACGTCTCCCTTAACTCTGGTTCTGTGTAAGCTCGCTCTCTCTTTCTCTCTCCATATTTGGCGTCTGGATCTTCGTGTTTCCTCAATTTTTTAAAGGTTTTACTTGTTTTATCATTTGATTTCTTTCTAGATCTGGATTTTAACTTGTTTTAATGGATTTTGGAGAACACTATTGAGTTGGTTTTATTTCTTTTTATCAGTGCGAAGACGTCGAAGCTGCTGGTGCTGCCGGAGCTGTGAAAGTGGAGGACATATCGGAGGTTGAAGCTGGCGGTGGAGTCAAGGGGAAAGTGACAGATCCCTTTGGTTTCACCTGGATCTTCACTTCTCCGGCCAAAAAGACTGATAACTGTTTTTGGTACCTTTAACGATTTGGGCTTTTCTTCAATTTTTCTGGGTTCTAGATTGTGCTTGTGATAGCCTCTAGATTGTGAGATGTTTAAATTGTATATATACAGGGGAGAGAGAAGAGGTTAGAGTCTCTGGGTACTAAAGTCTTTGGGAGTGAACTTTGTTTCACTTTCACTCTCAGTTTTGTTCTTGGTTGTCTTCTTAGTTATGGTCATTTTTTTTCATTCTAATCGATGTTTTTGGTTTGGAAAATTTAGGTCAGTTTATGTAATGTGAATTTAAGATCTATTTTGTAATCTACTCATTTTTTTTTTTCATTTTGTGATTATAGAAAAGGAGAAGTTGTACCTTTTTCAATGTACCAGAAATTTAATGATTCCAAAGGAACCTTTGAATCAAAACAATACTAAAAATTCTGTCACAATTCAAACCGAGCAAACTCAAACAATTCAAAATCAGATTTTCATTTGACAATTTTTTTTTCAACTGAATACAACCAAATTTCATAGACTTCAACAATTATGAAATACAAATAGATGGTAGGATTGAAAATTTTTGTAAGTCTAATAGAACAAGAAAAATTGAACCATAATTATAACACATAAACATATTAAACTCATAGGTAGTTTTGTAAGAAAAAATCTCAATAGCAAACGTAATTACAAATCACATTGTAGCAAACACAGATATCAAATGTTTTTACATCGAAGACTTCATTTGAAAACTTCGTTTGAAGACTCCGTAGACTACATGAGAAGTCTACTTTTACAAGCTAATTAGCTTATAAATAAAAAAATACGATTCCAGAATAAATATCAACTTAAATCAAATGAAAAACATTAAGTAGTTTAACCACTTGCTAACATGCATGTCCAAACCTAAAAATTAAAAAAAAACATTATAAATATTTTTGAAAAACATTTTTAAAATAAATACAAAAAGTAGACTTCTCAATTAGACTTCATCCATAGACTGTTAGAGAAGTCTACTTTGATAAGCTAACTAGCTTAAAAATTAAAAAATCTGATTCTGCAATAAATATCGACTTAAATGAAATAAAAATCATTGAGTAGTTCAATCACTTGCTAACAAGCATTTCAAAACCAAAAAATTGAAAACAATACTTTATAAATGTACCAAAAAAACGTTTTAAAATAAATACAATAAGTAGACTTCTAATACAGACTTCAAACGTAGACTACACGACGAAGTCTACTTTGATAAGCTAAGTAGCTTAAAAATCGAAACTTCTGATTCAACAATAAATATCGAATGAAATGAAATAAAATTCATTGGGTAGTTCAATCACTTACTAAGAAGCAATTCTAACCCAAAAAACTACAAAAAATACTTTATAAATTTGCCTAAAACGTGTTTTAAAAAAAAACTGCAATAAGTAGACTTCTAAAGCAGACTTCAAACGTAGACTGGAGGAGAAGTGTAATTTTTCATAGTGAAGTCTACTAAAGAAGTCTACTAAAAAACAGATTATTTTTGCAATTGACCAATCCGTTGACTTTTCCTTCAGTAGACTTCAGAAGTAGACTTCCGGCCAAAAAAGTTACTTTAGCATTTGACCAAGCCATTGACTAACAAAGTAGACTTCTATTGTAGACTTCATGTAAGAGTAAACTTCTCTAACAGTCTACTTTTGAAGTCTACTTTTTCAATAGAAGTCTACGGAAAAAATAAGTTATTTTGCAATTGACTATCTTTAGTAGACTTCACTGTGAAGTCTACTCAAAAAAAGATTCCTTCTAAGTTTGACCGAAAAATATAAGTAGACTTCCCAAAGAAGTCTACAGTTTTTAGACTTTTTTCTGAAGTCTACTACAGCTTTCCGGAGTTTTCTGAATTTTTTATTTTTTAAAAAACTTTAGTCAAACACTAAAATGACCTATACGTTTTTGGTCAAACTACAAAAGTAACTTAAAAGTAGATTTTTTGTGCAGACGTAAACAGTAGACTTTAGAAAGAAGTCTACATTTAAAAGTCAAAATACGGTCAACTACAAAAATAACGTCTTTTCTTTCGTAGACTTCTTAAGCCTTCAAATAAAATCTACTATGCTTTTTTTTGTTTTCAAAGGATATCGAGTAGACTTCTCGTGAGGTTTAATGAAGTCTACTTTTAAAAAGTCAATTGCAAAAATAACCTTATGTTGACTAGTAGACTTCAGTATACTTCACGAGAAGTCTACTTTCGCGATATGAAAACTGAAATATGGAGAAATTGAAGTGCGACGATTACCTTTAACAAAATTGAGCTCGGCTACAGTTCTTTTAAGCACCCAGAACTCAGGATTTCACCAAAAATAAGCAAACCAGATGTCAAGTAACCAGAAATCACCGAAAATGCATGACTTTTGGCATTGTAACTTAACCCAGATGTTTTGGAGAAGAAATTATGAAAGAATGAGGAAGGTTATGAGTGAATGAGCTCAAATATTTACTTATTACAGCTTTAAAATTAGTTGAGAAGCATTTATTCCATTTTCATGGTTGTTCATGGTGGTTGAAGAAATTGAAGAAGATGGCATTCTCGTAATTAAAAGGTCTTTAGAAGGTCCAAGGAGACTTTAGCCAAATTAAAGAAAAATCGAAATAATAGATGTATAATGGCATTTTCGTTAATAGTTTAAGTGGGAAGGATAAAATTGTGAGAAAATGGCAAAAGTTGGAGAGAGAAAAAAAAGAGGTTAGTTTGGTGTTTGACTTTGAAATATGGGTTAAATCTGAAACTCTCCCAAACTTTTATTCTACTCCATTTTGCAGCTATACTTTTTTTATTTACAATCTGATCCTTAAAATATTAAATCATTATAATTTTATACTTTTTATCAACACAGCATTATTTTCGACATTATATATGGCTATATGCATTTTTTTCAGATATACACTTAATATTTGTATGACCCATATCACTTTGACTTATATATATATATAATTAAAAAATGGTCTTTATGTATGTATATATATATATAACTATTGGTTTAATAAATAAGTTTTTATTTTATGATTCATGTTTATAAGATTTTTTGACAAGATTATAGGACTTTAATAGTTTAAAAAATATAAAAGACAATCATAAATATTTGAACGCTAAAATTTTTAATTCAAAATATTACAACTTAAAATAAACTGAAAAATACACAACAAGTGCTAAAATCAACGATAAACATAAAAATTTAACACAACAAATACAAACAATTTAAATATTCTGCTAAATCGCTTCCTGATCTACCGATATCATTAAAATATTGTCCAAACGAAGTTGATGGAGGAGGAAATTCTTGATTTTGTTGTTGAGCATTACGCTTTTGTAAAATTTTTGTTTGTTCGCCTTGAACATATGCACGAATATTTGGATCTGATATGGAACTCATGTCATAAAATAACATTTTGTTTTCCATCTTCAGCTCTTTCAAAGCATATTTTTTCTGTTGAATCTCCAGATGATCTTGTCTTTGTGCACTTGTCTTCTTTAATTGCTCCAAAAATTGTTTATTTCCTTCTTCTAAAGTGTTGATAACTGATGTTGTTTGATCAACAAGTTTTCTTTTATTTTTGGATTTCTTGATCCCCATTGGTCGTGGAGAGGGAGATCCGCTAGTAAGATCCCCACAGATACTATCCAAGAATGGAGGGCTATGTTCACTGAACCCACGTTCCGATTTAGACATCAAGAAGCCTATACATGCGCTGATACATTAGCTAAGAAAGCAATCCATTCTGATTTACCATGGGCTTTGTATCATACTTGTCCTTTATTTCTGCAAACTTTTGTAAACACAGATATGGCTTTTGATAATTAATAAAAGAAATATAGACGAAAAAAAAATTCTCTAACAATGTATGCAACTATTGCCAAAACACTAAATAAAAACAGAAACAACTAGTTAACTTTCCCGCGCCTTGCGCGGACTGATATAAGTTCATTTGATTGTTTGAAAAGTAATAGTAGTTTGGATTCGTTTGTTTTTTTATTCTTGAGTATATTTGTTTGTTAGATTTCCTTGCATTTTAATGTTGGAAAACATGAACTGAAAATAGTTTAGAATAGAAGAGAGTAAATAAAAACATAGTAGTATCCAAATAATTTAGTTTAAATAATTTTGAGATCTTTTGATCATTATTTTATGTATTTTAGACGTAATTTTTTGAAGTACCGTATGAACTTATTCGATTTTGATCACTGTTTTATGTGTTTTAAACATCACAAATACCGTCATTCCATTTGTTAAATATATATATATATATATATATATTTTATTTTTTTTTGTTAGAGTTTTTTTTTAAATTTCAGTTTTTTTTATAATGTTTTGAAACGACATTCTATTACTTTTTAAATAGTTTTCCTTTTTTGTTTATTTTAACATTTTTGTTAGATTTTTTCTAAATTTCGGAAACATAAGAAATGATAAACAGTAAGAGATATAAATTATATTAAAAAAATACGTTTTTGTTAGTTTTTTTTTTCAAAATTTTGTTATATATATTTTTAAAAACGATTTGATTGACTATAAAATTAAACATTAAACCATAATAATTTATACTGATTTATTTTAAGTTTTTTTACACATCATAAGATAAGAACCAATTAAAAATGACAGTAATTACAAAATAGGGCTAAACCATCTTTTTACATCCAAAATTTTGACTATAAAATTAAAGATTAAACCATAATAATTTAAAACTAGTCCTGATTTTTTATATAGGTTGCATTTAGGTTTTAAGTTATGACGATTATTGTAGATTTTCCTTTTTTATTTTTTTAAAGATAAACATAATTTTCCTTATGCAATTATCTATATAACGTATATTAGTAATTTATCTTTTTTGTAGATTTGTATTATGAGAAATATTTTTGATTTGTTTGTATATACATTATAAATAGTATTTAGTATTTAGATAGAATGAAGAAAAAAACAGAGCTTAAACAATTTTGAAAATTGTGAGAGAAATAGTTAAAATGGCTGATGTTTATATTAAACCATAAGAAATCGAAAACTTTATAAACATAAGAAATCATAAACACTATAATAACTAGCGATATTATAGCATAAATTTTGGTTTTTTTTGTTTCTTTTAACATTTTAGTTAGATTTTTTCTAAATTTCGAAAACATAAAAAATGGTAAATTTCTAGAGTTTTGTGTTATTTTTTAAAAAACGTTTTTGTTTATTTATTTTTTTTAATTTCTCGAACATAAGAAATGGTAAATTTTTAGATTTTTTGTGTTATTTTTTAAGAAATACTTTTGTTTATTTTTTTTTCAATTTCGAGAACATAAAAAGGTAAATTTCTAGATTTTTGTGTTAATTTTGAAAAACGTTTTTGTTTATTTTTTTTAATAAATTTCGGTTAAATATTTTAAAAACGGTTTGATTTGACAGCAAAATTAAGTATTTAACTATAATAATTTAGGCCGGTTTGTTTTAATTTTTTTTTACACGTCATTCAGATAAGAACAAATAAAAAAATAACATGTAATTGCGAAATAGGGCTACATAGTCTTTTTATAACCGACATTCATTTTAGAGCTGTCACGTAAGCGAAAAACTCTGAAACTCGCTTTAAACGCGACATATAAACAAATCACTACACAAATAAGTATATAGATAGATAAATCTTTTGTCTTTTATGGATATATTTATGTGGAAGTCCAACTTTTCAGTCTTCAATATTGGTTCTAATTCAATCTCCATTAATCAATTCGAAAATAGGAATGGATTCTGTTTTAATATTAGGGGGAATTGTAAATTTAAGACACATTTTGCAAACATTTGTCCTTATAAGACTTTTTGAACTTTTGTCACTTTTAGACTTAATTACCCTTTAATTAAGGATTACGTTAATTTTTAAAATTCGAATTTAATGATTAATTTTTTCTAAAAAATTGAAAATAGCAAAAAAAGGAAATAAATAAGTTATGGAAAGTTTTTAATTTATAAAAATTATTTTCTACAACATGTAGAAAACGTATTCTACATTCTACAGTTTTATAGAATATGTTTTCTAGACATTCTTCTACCATCTACAAAACATAGAATCGATGTTATACATGTTCTTCTTCATTCTACTAGCAATATAGAATATATATTCTACATAATCTTCAGCGTTCTACAACTTTTAGAATATATATTCTACATTTTCTACTACGTTCTACATTTTACTAGAATTTAAATTCTAGTAATCTTTCATTGTTCTATGTAATGTAGAAGATATATTCAATTGAGTAATTAACAGAATTTAAGAAAATTTAGAATCATTAGTTTATCCACTAAAACTGAATATTTTTTAAAATATTCCTTTTCCTTTTTTTTTCATGTTTTCCCTTTTTGTTTCTATTCTTTGTTGAACAATTTTTCACATTTTTACCTTCTTTTCTCTGCGAAACTTGTTTTACAATTCTCGAAAAACCTTTGTGCTTCAATTTTTCTTCACCTTTTTCAAATATTCTGCATATGTTACTATGTATGTATCATCTCGTGAGTAGAAATTGGGAAGCAACAGAAGAGTTGGAAGCAAAGGATCGAGAAACATAGGAAGGAGATATTGGACGAAACAGCATTATAGCTTCTCTTAGGAAATGCCTTCTTTCGCACGGATATAAGCTAAAACTAGAGGAGGCAGAATCTGTTGCAATGAGATGCTTGTGAACTTTGATGGTAGAATCTTGCAAACCGTGAATTCTTGTTCTTCTTCGAGATAAATCTATGGTCACTGTTATCAGTGAGGAAGGTGTGAAATGCAATATCGCCATTGCTATTGCTCCAACTACTCAACCTTTCAATATCTTCTCTTATATCATTACAAGCACATTTTTGTGTTCGGTTTTCCAACACCTTTTTGTAAAGCTTCTTTTTACTTTTATATAAAGTTTACCATTTATCAAAAAAAAATATAAAAAGGGATTGCTATCGCTGATTTGGAAATTTTGACATGAAAGATCAAGTAAGATAAAAAGTTTGCTTATATTGCAACGAAAGAGAAGTTAGTTCGATGAAGTTATCACACTCAATCGACGAGGAACAGTAGAACAGTGAGCATGAAGGTCTCGTAAGTGAAAGTAGCTGAGCCTGATAACGCCTATCCGATCTCCTTGAACTTCTCAGTCAGCCCCTGCAACCATTTCATCAAACATCAAGACACAAACACTCATTCTATGTAATGTAAAAACAATTTGGTCCAAGTGTCTAAGAACGTGACCCTAGAAATAAAAACAACATACCTTTAACAATCAAACAGCACCTGCATCAACCCAAAAACCAGAATCATCAGTATGAAATTTTACTTGTTTTACAGAGAAAAAACATAGTTAAGAGGTTGAAACTAATGAACATACTCAATGGAATTGTCATATTCGATAGCCCTATTCCTTCCTCCGCTTCTGTCAAACTTTGCAATGAGCAGATCCAAACCCACAGGAGACACCGAAAACCCAAGGTTCAAGAGTGCATCTCTTAGTTTGTTTGTATCGATTCTGCCGCTTCTGTCCTTATCAAAAACCTCTCAAATATGGACTGAAAACTAAATCTAAAAACCCCAACATCAAACAAAACGACAGAATCTTCTACCGGAATCGACGCCGCGGTGAGGGAGAGACGCGGGCGGTGGACTAAATCTTCTCGTCGCAGAAAACATAGAAAGAGGTTGGGGAGTTAATTTGACGAATAATTTAAACTTTAATTTTTTATTGTTCTTTAATTGTTTTTAATTGTTATATGGTTTTACTGAGTTTAAAAAATATTTTTAAAAATTACTAGAATGAAAATCTGAGGATAATTTTGGGTTTCAATAAAAATAAATCTTATAGGAACAAACCTTTAGATTATTAATCTTAATAGGACAAATGATTTAGGAAATTGTCCTAAATTTCTAATTATCTCTTAATATTATCGTGTTTTGATTAGTATCAAATGATCATTTAATCAAAAATTTCAATCGCTTTAAAAAAGAATTAAAAAATTTCAATAACAAAACTCTTTTTTCAGCCAATAAAAAACTCTTTCTTCTCTATTTATTTATGAATAATGCAAATAATTTCACTCTGCTCATTTTCCCAGTTTTTTTCCTCCCTTCCTCTCTGCTGCGAAAAGGGAAAGGGAAATCGTTCTTTATAGATCTTCGAAATCACTTGAATCCTTCTTCTTATCCTTTTTAATTTCTGGGAAAGCTTAAAATCTGCTTTAAAATTCTGGCGAATAACTGTAGATGGCTGAATCTCGTTTCGAAATATCTGGGTTTACTCAATGTAAGTGAGTTCGTAAAAGTATTCTTCGTTTTGCCCTGAATTTCGTGCCTTTAAGGTTAATTTCCTGGGGAAAAGAGAGAAATCAGAAAGGGTTTCCAGTTTTTTGTAGTATGATGCCGAAATCTAGTTTTGTAGTTTGTTGAGCTGGTGATGATGGTGACTTGATTTGGAGCTAGGGTTCGCTTTTACTTGTTTAATCTCTTATTGCAATGTTATTGAATTAGTGTACTGAAGACTGTAATGTGGATGATCTGATACGATTGTTTGCTTTTTGGTCATCAACTAAGCAAGCCTGATGAATTTGTCTATGAGTAATAGAAGTTTCGATTATTTACAGGCTATCAATTTGATTTGGTAAAATAACGGAAGTATGATAACGATCAAATTTTATTGTTTGTGATGCATATACATGCTCTTCTCTTGGTGCTATCATTTGATATTCGATGTACGTGATTGTGTGATCTTTGCAGGTTGGTTCTCGTTAATTGGATTATAGAAAGCTAAGTCTACAATCTGGTGATGGTCTCCTTTGCCTGATGCATGATGATGTCTGAGAAACCATTGGGAGAGGAGTCCATCCGGCAGGATTTAGAGGTTTTAACCGTGTCAAAGCGGCTCGTGAAGAGTGCTAGCCGGAAATTAAAGAAAAAGATTTATTATAAGAGTGAGGTGGAAGATGAAGAGGATGCAAGGGGAGCTGTAAATTGTCTGAACATCAGTGGTAGAGGTGCTGGTTGCAAAGTTGCTGACACCGGAGACAATTTTGAGGATCCGACCAATAAAAGATGGTCCAGCGCTAGCGAGGAGGGTAAGGGATTGACGACCATTTGTGGAACGGAAGAAACTAGGTTGGATTGCTTTTCTTATGGGGTAAAAGAGATGTTTTGGAAGAAGCATAGCCGAAAGTATCTAGATCTAGAGGACTCGTCACAGGATAAAGGAAAACACATATTCCTACCCGATGATATTCTGGAAATGTGCTTGATGAGGCTTCCTTTGACCAGCCTAATGAATGCACACCTTGTTTGCAAGAGATGGCGGTACATGGTCACCACACAGCGTTTCCTACAGCTGAGACGAGAAGGCTCCTTTCAGACCCCATGGTTATTTCTGTTTGCTGCTGTTAAAGATAGCTGCTCCTCTGGTGAAATTCACGGGTATGATGTATCTCAAGACAAATGGCATAAGATTGAATCTGATGTACTTAAAGGGCGGTTTATGTACTCAGTCACGAGTATCCATGAGGAGGTGTATATAATCGGAGGTCGTTCTATGGACAGAAACTCTTTCAAGACTCACAGAGGGGTCTTGGTATTCAGCCCTCTGACCAAATCATGGCGTAAAATCGGGTCTATGAGACATGCTAGGTCACTTCCCATTGTTGGTGCCTCCGAAGTTACTTCAGAATTCTCGACCATACAATGTCAGCAGAATCGTCAAGATAGACGCTTCCACCGATCAAGAATCAGCAGAGAATCAGATGTCTATGAAGACCCTCACAGGTTATCTGTTAGACGCCAGCACAGAAACATGGCTGATCAAAACGGATCTAAATCCCACAGATCAACAAGACTAAAGCTTGATCGGCTAGACCGAAATAACTCCAAGAGATTTGTGCTCATTGCCATCGGAGGCACTGGATTGTTCGACGAGCCACTAGATTCAGGTGAAATATACGACTCAGCAACAAACACATGGTCAGAAATCCAGAGGCTCCCAATGGATTTCGGGGTTGTGTGTTGTGGGATCATATGCAATGGAATCTTCTACGCTTATTCTGGGAATGATAAGCTATCAGGGTATGACATAGAGAGAGGCTTCTGGATTGCAATCCAAACATCACCAATCCCTCCTCGGGTTCATGAGTTCTACCCAAAACTCGTGTCCTGCAACCACCGTTTGTTCATGATTTCAGTTTCGTGGTGCGATGAAGGAGATGGACAAATTGGGAGGAGAAACAAAGCGGTGAGAAAGCTGTGGGAGTTGGATCTTGTGTACCTCACATGGACAGAGGTTTCAGTACACCCGGACGCACCAATGGATTGGAACGCCACTTATGTCTCAGACCAGAACATACTAATTGGAGTTGAGATGTTCAAAATCTTTGGGCAGGTATTAGGTTTCTTCACTGCCTGCCATATATCAACGGAAGAAGCCTCGTGGAGACATATTTCCAGGAACCACAGGAGTCAGAAACTCAATCTATCTTGTATGAACAAGACCATTGCCTTGCTTCATCTCTGATCTTTGTTTTACTTGTTGTAATAATTTTCAGGACTTGTCAATTAATTGATTCATGTATTGAAAGGAAAGGCAATGTTGAAATGAAAATGTAATGTTCGTATTTTCTTACTGATTTTTCTACCACTCTCCACCGCAAAAAGAATTTATTCAAACCCTACAAAATAAAGCTTTGGAGTGTTCTGTATTATAATTTCATAGACGTGTCTCAATTTGGATAAGATGTGATCCTGTAAGTAAAAGTTTCACATTTACAAAGACTATCTTTTCAGTTTCCCAGAGAACATACAACATCACATAACTATCAAAAGTGCCATCCATTTGCTCGCCAGAATCTGCTAGCATTTTCATCAACTCTCTTCGATCTTCAGAAAAAGCTTAGAAGCCATTACTGTTTTGATACCAAGAAAATGGCTTGAGGAAAGAGGTAGCAAGGCCGTGTGATTGAACGTTCGCTCTTGACAAACATATAAAGCGCATTTGCAAACTTTCGGTCTTTATGACCTGAAACAAGCTTACAATAGGTGTTCCACATTCATAATCCAACATCATTCGGTAGTACCTCAAAGATTCATCAAATCTTGAAAATACACGGAACTAGAGGTCATATATTATCAAAGATATCAACAGCATCATTCATAAAGCTTTATTCAGATGCAAAAAAAATAAAAAAATAAAAGGACAGAAACTTTAGACTGTCTTTTTTATTATTATTATTATTATAAACTTTAAACTGTCACCATGAACAAAATGAATTCATTTTGATATTTATAAAAGGAGAAGGAGAGTCACCTTAAAGCAACTCTCTAGGTTACAAAGTAAGTTCTTGTTAGAATATTTATACTAACCTACTTGCTTGAAAACCCTAAACATATGTAGCTTGACATTTCATTTCTTGTTAGAATTAACATGGTTGGTTTGGGTCTTAAAAATTGGAAAGTTAAAATTGCTAGACAATAACCACCCAAACGTTGGCATATTTTCACCTTGAATTCGAGAAACTTGTAGTATAATGACAGCCCATGCATTGACATACTTCGTACCAATTATTTTATAAACGAAATTTTTTTTCTTAACTTAACCAAATTCAAAATAATCTGAAATTTGTTTATAAGAAAATTGGACACTTTTTTCAAACTAAAATGTCAGCCAATGGTAAATCGATTAAACATAGTTTTTATTTTTATTTTGTATTTTTTCCTTTTTAACATAGTTTTTAATATTTTTTGATATTGAATAATAGATGTTGGGGGTAAATTCGATCTGGACGAATCACGTGCTTGCACGTGGCCAAATTAGGAATACGACCTAAGCATATAGCACCAGGCAAGATCCGACATGATAGAACACCTGTTCTCGGGTTCCTCGTATCTGACAGCGTAGACCACACTATCAGAGACAAGGAGGTCGGAAACTGAGTGGTCAGGAGGAGAAGAGGTCACCTTCTCTATATCCTAGACCTAACCTCGGTAATACGGAAGGGTCGGGATATAAGGAATGTGTCCCGCACGGGGACCCGGAGAGTGGAGTCTTCCATTTAAGCATTTCTGACAGTCCGGTCTCAGTATCGAGGGATTCGGGGCCAGATATGAGTAAATCTATAAGCAGGAAACGCTATTCCAATTTCCCTCCATTCGACAATCAGAATATACTTTAGTCTAATTTCATTGTCCATACCTTTATAAACCCATGAGATTGGCATTTAATGCATATTTCTTACACGTGTCAGGCGATAATGACCTTTCGCAGGAACCAGAGGGAAAAGCAGAGGTTTAGCAAGAGCTAAAACGTGCCTGAACCATCAACCCAACCCGTACACCGAGGGCGAAAGAGACACGACGATGAACAGTCTCGTAGCAGGCAGATTATGCCAAAAAAAAGTTGGTGGAGCCGTCAGAAGTATGACGCAAACACAAGATTCAGACCCAGTCAAGTCGGGTCGTGGACCGACCCACCTGACTTACTATCCGCGGACCGACCCGATATACTAACCTGGGTCAGGTAAAATCCTATAAATACTTTATCCTTTCCAACGAGGAAGAGGACACATACATTTTTTTTTTACTATCTTAAGGTTCATAATATCTATCTAGATACTTGTGAGTCTTAGGCACTGGTACTCTTTACTTTTCCGGTCACTCCGACCATTTTTTCATTTTCTCTCCATGGCGGTTGCTAAACTGTGGAACTTTTCCACCAACAAACTCTTTTTTTTTCTTCTCTTTCCACCTCAAAAAGCCCATCACCACTAAAGGCCAGAGTCCATTCCACCTTTCTCAGGAACGCTCGGCCCACCTTCCTTTCTGATCTTTTTCTGCTCTCCGATTTACCACTTAGTGGTCTTTCTTAACTGTTTTCTGACTTGAGTGTCAGAGAGCATTCAGAAAACACACTCCCATCGTGTTTTCCGGGCCTTCACGCGTTTTTCAGTTTTGCAGGAGACTTAAAACCCATAAAAGGACCAAAAATCCTCAAAACAGTATATTCATTCAAACTATATATATGAATATATGAAACCAATATTTTTAAACTAACCAAAACGAATAAAAATATTTTAGTTCTATTTTGATAAAAAGTCATGCACTTTCATTCATAACAAAAAGATACTTTGAAAATGGGGTGTATTGCATACACCTTAAGAATGCAGATAGGATTACGGAGTATTAGATCAGTAGATTCAACAATATATTTGGCATGAGTTGTAAGGTTGTTGTAAGATATGGTGTGAACAACCATGTACACTTAAATGAATTCAAGTGAACATGTAAGATGTATGTTAAATTAAAAATCTCATGTTGACATGCCCTAATGGCTGCGTAAAACTTGAGTGTTGCATCTGGAAACTTAGTAGGTGAGTCCTACAAAACAACAACATGGGTTGAGACATACAAAAGTTTCATAAAACTAATGGAAACCCAAGAAATTTAAAATCCCAACTAAAGTGAGTACTATATCCTTCCATCCATCTAAAGCTAGTAGGATCACATGGTGGACAAAGGGGTTTACTACCAATCGCCAAGAAGAATTTGTGACAAGCATTTTTCAGTATGGATAATTTTGTTTGATGTGTTTGTTTGGCTGAAGTTGATAGTTATGTTAAATGTGCATGTGTTTAAGGTGGAACTTTTGATTCGTAATAAGTGTAACCGTTAGAGACACTAAGATCATAATATCACAACATGCTCCAATTCAATATGATGGTGGTTGGTTGAATGTGTTAGGAAATGTGGTAAAATTTTCACTCAACTAATCCTAGCTGCAAATGCACACCAATCACAGTTAGTATAGTACGAGATCAAATCCACAGAGACTTGTGATCTTCACGACAAAATTGTTAGAAGATTAATCATGGTAAAACAAAACAAAAGAGATATTTTCCATGGTGATATGTAAATAAAGTAAATAAGCAATGAAAATCAAGATCAAAACAATGGAGAAAAAGGTTAAGTGAGTTAGCAACCTTCGCCCCCTCCCCCCCAAAAACTATGTAGATACAACAAGAATAAAGAAATTGGGAAATATCTCATGAAAAACATGCAACGATAAGATAGATGATTTGTTATGAATTTAAGTAAATCCGTCTTGAACACAAAACACAAAATTATAGTCTTTTCACTTTCTTGACTCCGACCAATATGTTGTAAAAACCAATAGACTCAGTCTTCATGGGTTATTTTAGAATAAAAACATACATTAAATCGAGCAAGTGATGATAAATTTCACTAGACTCTTTAACTCGACTTTTGGAAGATTAAGACGCCTAGCTCATCAAATACTAGTTCTCGCAAATAGATGCAGCACTTTTGATGTTATATTTCCCTTATGTCAGATTCTTGAATGCACGGTAAAGTTATCATGCATTAAGAACAAATAAAGATGACAAACCACCCAGCAGTTGTTATCTAACCACCTAGCAGCATAAATGTTAGAACTAGGTACTAAGGCTGTTGACAAAAAAAAGAAGGAAAATTTGCTAAATGGTATAACTGGTAGTATAAAATTAATTAATTAAATAGTAATTTTCTCATTTGATATTAGTAAATTTATCAAAACGTGATAAATTATTTCCTTAACACTGAAAAATACTTTATTCCAAAAAGTCTACCCACACAACCTTTTATAATAATCAGAAACGAAACAATTGTACAAACACTTAAAGATGCTATAGTAATGATTAAAAATAGATAACTAGGACGTGAAGAGAATAAATCAAATAATACCAAATGTGCCTCACGAATTTCATTGCTTAGAATAGTAGTAGTTTGGAAATTAAAGACATACTGAATCTTCAAACCAACCAAATTTTGCAAGGATCGTCTCCCTAGAATAAGTAGTGAGTATTCATCTCCTGTTCATGACCTAGATTGACATGATTTATCAAACCAAAATGACCTCTTTTAAAGTAGCAATGCTTTTATAGATCTGAAATATCTTCTTTACAATCTGAATAACTCGCATTCACCTCAGAAAAGTCCTTATTAAAAACTCTCCTGAAATCCTAAAGTTTATAAAACCTAGGATTTAGAATATATAATGGAAACCCATAATTAAGAAAAAAAAATGAGCCTCATCACCTTACCGGATCTAGGTCATCCATTTAAGAATTCAATTGGTTTAGTCATCCACAAACGATCCACCATAAAAAGTAAAAAATACACGTAAATCATAAAAGATTTTCAATTTATCACTACAAGAAAACAAGGTCTATTCCCACAAAATTTCCCACCGAAATTTTGGTGGGTAAAATATCCCACGAAATTTAAAGAAATAAACCACGGTTAAGTGATTTGGTGGGAAAATTGTTGCTAATTTGCAACGGAATATATCGATAGAGATTTCGTGGGATATTTGCAACGGATTACAAACGAAACAAATATCGTTGGTAGTTACATTGAGAAATCGTGGGAAATCCATTGTAAAGTTGCGACCGATTTTTTTAGTCGGTAAGCTGTGGCGTTAATATATCCGTTTATAGCCGTTGTACCTAGCCATTTGTATTTTTAGAAATCGGTGGGAAATCCGTGGTTTTTACATGGGCAATTCGTGGGAAATCAATTGCAAATTTACCACCGATTGTTTTGGTCATAAAACTGTGGCGTCAATATATCCGTTTATAGCCGTTGGAATTAGCCGTTTAAATTTTTAGA